TATATATATATATATGTATATATATATATATATATATATGTATTCTATATATCTATGTATGTATATATGTATATATCTATATATGTATGTATATATCTATCTATGTATGTATGTATGTATGTACATGTACGTATGTACGTATGTACGTATGTACGTATGTACGTATGTACGTATGTACGTATGTACGTATGTACGTATGTACGTATGTACGTATGTATCTTTTAGGAAGGACAAAAATCATGACAAGTCTTGGAGAGGAAAAAAATCCATATATAACTACGCTCCACGCTATGTAACCATGGTGCTGGATGGTTTGATGCAGGAAGCATCTTGGAAAAAACTTAATGGCAAAACTAAATTAATTGACCGAGCAAAATGTTAATGTTACTCAGTCTCATGAGGATCATGACGTGCAACAACCTACACATGTCTGGCCACCTTTGGACAAATCCATTAATCAGATGAGTCAATTCTCGGATGAAGAATGACGGGTCCATACATCCAGGAGGAAGAAGAAGAATGAAGACCTACATAAGCTCAAGAAATTTATGAATGATACTTTGGTTACTTCGGGTAATAGTACGCCCCTTACAAATTTGTTAGCCAGCTCCCTTCCGAGAACTAGAGGAAAATGGAGGACTAAAGTGGGACGTCCCTAGCACTTATGCGTCTGTTGTTGGCTTTTTAATTTTTTATCTTTATGTACATTTGCTTTATTTGGGATTTTGTGTGTGTTGTATTGTGTGAGTTGGGCCTTCTTTTAGGCTCTCTCATACACCTATCTCTATCTTTTACTTTCTAATATATTAGCCATTGGACTTTTTCTAAAAAATATATATATATTTAAAAAACCCAAGGGCTAATATATTAAAATAGAAAAGTTACAAATAGGTTGTATGAGTGGGCTCAAAAAAACGCACCCTCCCCATACAGTACAACACACAAAAAATCCAAAAAAAAAAGATACATGTAAGCCCCAAAAAACTAAAACCGCCAAATCGCAGAAACAAGTAGTTAGGGACGATCCAATTTATTCATGACTCAAACCTTTGCAACTATTATCATAACATCGTAATTTTTCTTATCTTCTTGTGACAATTCCTAAACCTTTTTTAAACTAAACAAAATTTACCTAATTTGTATATTTCCTATCCTTTTTATATGAACACGTATTAATTTTTACATAAAAATTTTCATTCTAGAGTATTACAAAATGTGGGTAGAAGTAAAGGAAAAGCCTTTATTTGATAAAAAAGACATGGCATGGAGGTATAACATATAAGATGACATTGGAGGGAATGATTATTTATACTTATCTGAAGTGCACTTATTCCGAGAAAATTGTGAAGAGGGTGTTACATAAATGAAAGAGCACCTTTCAAGCTCTCACAAAATGTTGCATCTTGTATAAATATACCTAAGGAGGTTGTTAATAGAAACCGTGCTTATAAAAAAAAGTCCACCTTATCAAAGTATTTAGCACAACAATAGTTTGACCTTAGAGTAAAAATTGGGTCTTAAATATGAGAGCAAGCCTAGTGGCAAACATTCATCTATTTTGCCATAGATATTATGTAGAGGTACCAAAGAACATATAGATCAATACATGATAAATGTGAATCTCAATAAATTGTCTCCTAAAAGTGCTAAAGAGACGCATGTGTGCCTATATAAATATTGGGAAGTTCTCCAAAAATGTCGACATATTCAATGTGGCAAACTCTCCTTCATATTTTAACATGATCGTGTAATAGGTTCCTATGGTCAATGCTTGAGACCACCATCTATGCATGATTTAAGAACTTAAAGAGCTAAAAGAGGAACTAAACAATACTGAAGTGAGCATTAAGAAGATTAAGAAAATTTATAATAAATTAGAGTGATGATCATGTTTAACAATTGATTTTATGTCAAAAATAAAATTTTAACTAACAATTTGATTAATAGTCCCTACAGCGTTTTTTTCTTAAAATCTATTTAAGCATCAGATAAGCTTAGAGACGGACTACATTTTTGGACTTTTTGTAACAACTTGAACAATAGGGCTAGAGAGCAGCAATATAAGTTTGATTAGAGGATATTGGAGAGCAACTTCTTGTTATAGATAATGTAAGCGCTTATAGAGCAGTTAGTAAAAAAATTAATGGAGAAGAGACAACATATGCAAAAGACTAAGGCTCCGTTTGGGGCAACTTATAACTGAGGGCGGCATTTTGAAAACATCACCCTCCTGTTTGTTTATCACGTTCGGACAACTTATTTCAAACCGGTGTTTGAATTTATTTAATAAACGCGGCCGCAAAATCGATCCCGCGGTTAGCGTTCGCTCCTGTGACTTCATCCCGCCGCCCTTGAAACCCCGAGCGAGGGCGATCAGTTCATAGAACTCGCAGTCGGCGAAGGAAAATGTTCGGAAGAGGAGGAAATAATAACCTCATCGATCGTTTGTGAAAAACTGAGTTCATCGGAGCCCACCGCGACGGCTCGGATCGGAAATGAAGAGTTCTGATGCCCTTTGCCCATGGTGACCAGATGAAGGTCGGTGAGAAGAATAGGAGGATTTCACTTCAGCGTGAGAGGCCTCTCTAAGCCGTGCGACGGTAAGCTGCCACATGGCCAGAGGGCTGTTGCAGCGGCAAGCATGAACGTAGCTCGCATGTAGTGACAAGGCTGTTGAGGGAGAGGGAAGAGAACAAAGAATTACAGTATACCTTATCGGCTTCAGCTCGTCTCTGATTTATTACTGTATCGTTGTAGTTATATATTACGTCAGGACTTTTTTTTATTTGTAAAAAGTGTTTTATTAAATGGGTATGAATGTTAAAATAATTTGCATAACGCTTTATAATTTCATTGTTATATAATTGCTGCTAACATATATGCTTAGGAGTTAGGAGTGTGATATTATTATGAAAAGGAAGATTTACATGCATACCACATAAATCATATTATTTATGCATTTTTTTAGTTAAATTTCAATTGGATATGCAATATGTGGTATCGTGCATTTGTCTTTGAGGAAATTTAAAGTTTAGAGCACTTTAAAAACTACACATTAGAATGTTCTCATTTTATCGCTTCTTTGATTGATTCATCACTTACAGTTCTGTTGCAAATAGCTTTACTGCACAGAGACAGAATGATTATTTTTCCAAAAACATCTATTTTCCAAACACACAAACCAAATAGCGAGCCAGCTTATCTGGATCAGTTGCTGATCAGCAGTTTATCCAGATCAGCTGCTTATCAGCAGATTATCGATAAGTTGCAGTTGCCCCAAACAGACCCTAAGCGTGTGGCATATATTATTGGTTTAATTTTAGAAAAACTTGGTGACTTGCCCATCAAAAGAATGCTTTGGTCAAAACAAAAAACATAACAAAATTCATCAACAATCACTTACGAATTTTGGCATTAATGAAACTTAAAAAAATAATAATAACTATAGCTTATATGACTTTACAAAGCATGTTGAAAGCACAAAAATCTTTGTAATATATGTTCACCTTCACATAATGTCTTAATTTTATTTAGGCAAAGAAATCTGAAGGGCAAGGAGTACAAAAGATTGTCCTAAGGGAGAGATTTTGGTTAAGTGTTAATCATGCAATATTAACAATAAAACTACTAGTTCAAGTTTTAAGGACGATGAATTCAACAAAATAGCCAGTTATGAGCTTCATTTACAAAAGATTGCTCTAAATTTAAAGAATAATTCAACCACAATTAGATATAAAAAATTATTGCTGAAAAGAGAGAACTTTGACTTCATCATCATTTGTATGTCGTGAAATATTATTTTAATCCATGAATTCAATATGTTAAAATTAAGTTGATTAACCTTGAGTTCAAATTAGACTTGTATCACAGCAAGGATATGTTGATAGTTGACTCAACTGAGCAGAAGAAGGTTGATATGCAACTTGTCCATTTAGAAATAAGGATGCTTTGAAGTACGAGTCAAAGATACAGTTGCAAAATATTCTTCAAATAATTTTTATTATTTACTAATTAAAACAAAAAAAATCTGCCAATTTTATTATTTTTTTCAAATTTAATTCAACGGTGGAGTCAATTTGGTGACAACATGTTGAAGCTACAATGATTTGCTATAAAAGTATTATTAAGTCTTATATGCTCATCATTAGGTTGTGAACAAAATTATATTACATATAGTCCAATTCATACAGAAGAAGAAATCATTTTAGTAGCTTAAGATGTACCCGCTCATTTATATTATATACAACTAGAGAATACGGAAAAGAAATTTTAAAAAATAAGCTTTAAAATATGATAAGGATCCTTTACTTTGTAAATGCACGCTATCAAATGATGAGAATGAAGCACCATCTAATCTGTAAAAAGAGGAACTTAATACTAACACTTTTTTATGGGGACAAAATTAGTCCAACACCAGTAAAATATCCATGAAAATTGAAGTAAACGAAAATCTAACTATAAACATAGCCATTATTATAAATTTTAACCATTTTTTTATTGACTAATATTGATAAGGAAGAAAACATCACTTCAATGAAAATGAAGAGGTATGAATGAATATAGATACAATTGAGGAGGAGGCGAAGAGAAAATAATTTATCACATGGATGATTCAAATGAAGACCCATTGAGTGATCTTTTTGATGAAAACTTCTAAAAATAAAAATTTTAATGTCAGTGGATTGTTATTGTTGAACTTAAATGAAGGATAATATGAGTGGTAGAAAATAAATAGTTGAACTTATTTTGGTTATGGCTTTGCTTCTGAGTATTTTGCCTTGATATCTTAGTTTACTTAGATAGTTTAATATTTATATAATCCTTCTTATTTCAAGATTTGATGTTAAGATGTTAGCATGCAACTCATTTTTTTATGTAATTTGTTACTTCTTAATATGTTATTATTTAATGTGTTAATATGCTAGTTGTTATTTTATAATTTAAAATTTCTATAGCATATTTCCTATACACAAGTTTTTGAGCATGAGGCTAACGCCTCCAAATGTCTTGAGACTTATGCCCTACCTTACAAAGAAAAAATGTCTTAATATCCAATTGTGCAATTTTAAAGCTTGCTCCTTAGCATTTTCTATTTTAACCAACTAATTTTAACTTCAAAGATTATAAATCACTTATATAATCTTTTTCTGCATAATAGATCCAAAATACTTAAATTTACGACAACCAAACATCACTTTTTCTTCTAATAGTAGTGATTGGTAATCAATAACATAACACTAAGTAAAATTTGACATCATTTGCCAAGCCCTTGGTCCAATAATTCTGAATCCATTATCTTTTTAAATATTTTTGCGTTGCTTTATATTTCCAAATAGTGCAACAAATGTTCAGTCGACTAGAAATGCACCTATTTAAGAAAAAAAAAACATAACAATATCTCACTATGAATATCTATAAAATGATGAAAGCATAATGTTGGTCCTTGATCTATATCTAATTATTAGAAACTCCTTAGTTATTTTACAACTGATGATATTAAATAATGCTATGCCATGCATGTATTCATTAACTACAACATATACCTATAAAAAGAATTATGTGCACCAATTCAACTTTTGTACTATTTAGTCATATATATCCTCTCGAGATAAATAAAAATCAATTAAAGATATTTTGCTCAATGTATTTTTTTATTAATTTCCTCAACACCAACATTCATATCACATCTTCTTAACATAAAACTATATTGATTCTACAATGTCAATGATAAACATTTCAAATTTAAACTTCATTACTCTCACCCATAACATCATAGCATGATTTATAAGTCTGACTCCTCTATAATTGCCACACCATTGAACATCTTGTTTACTCTTAATTATTACTTAATAAAGTACTAATTATTGAATATTTTGTAATTTATAATCCTTATAGCTTTTAAAATTCTATCAAAAGTATTTGTTAACAAAACTAAAATATCAATCATATCTCGGCAATATTTTTTTGGGATGAACATATCTAGAATTTATCTCATTTATCTATTTATTATGCTATTTTGAAAATATTTCTTCCTCAACTTATATTTAACCATTTCTCGAAGTATCATAATTATCTTTCCATGATACCTTTATCTTTGACTAAGATCCAAGTATCATCATCTTCAATGCCTCTAACATGATAGGCTCAAGATCCATGTCTAACTCTTAATTATTACTTAATAAAGTACAAATTATAAAGCTCTTTTCTTCATAGTAAAAAAAAGGAAATATTTCAGATTTCACACTCCAATTCTAGAAGTGACTAAACCTTCTTCTCAATAATTACTTTCACCATCTCCAGTACCAAAAAAAAAATGCTTTGGTTGGCATGTTAGACCTATTAACAAATCAATAAATTGTCACAAAAATATCATTTATTAAAGAAATGAGCATGCAAAGAGCACTTCAAAACTTTAGAAAAAACTAAAATGTTGCTGTCAAACAATGGAGAAACAAGCTTTTTTATTTTCTTCTACGACTAATATATATCAATATGAAGGTAACTACGAAGTAAAGGATTGCTTACGACAGTGTGTCTGCTGCATAAAATATTGGAAATTTTCCAGGTCCTCCTCCACTCCAGTCTCTTCTGATAAAATCAATAACTTGCTCTGCTTGGCTACCTGCTGCTGTCAATACAAACTGACAAAATACCAGATAATCAAATGACTGGTTTCCTAACACAAAATGCACAGCTTCGCCGTTAGAAAGAAATGCAGTTATAAATCCAGAACAATGACTATGCAACAACAATAGAAAAAAGAATAAATAAATATGATCCAAGGTGCAAAGGAAATATTCAGTTCTAACTACACATTTCATTGACTTGCATATTGGCTTTGGCTCTCCATATACAGGCCCCTACTTGAGATTCTTTGAGTTATAAATGTTAAGAATAATTGGAGCTTGCAAGAAATAAAAATAGCATATAAATTACATTAAACTCACGCAAGGGTCTCAGAATGGTTAAAGTACACAATCTTAGCTCTGTATTTGCAGTGAGACTATTTATATGACTCAAACTACCATTTCTTCATGATGCCCATGATTAGAAAATTACAATTAAATATTGTTTAAACTAGCTATATTGAGCAAAAGCCTGCCTAAATTATGAAACTTCTTGACTATTCAAGCATCCCTAGTCAAATTCGTTAAGTCCATCTGAAGACTTCTAGCTTGAATCAGGCTCTACCAATCAAATTCATAAAGTGGGTTTAGGATTCCCATCACATTGCTTCCGTTACAGTAGATAAAATCCAGCAAGGAATTAATGTCATCACACTAAGCCATGGCACATCTGCAATACTTGGAAATCAAGACAACTGAAGAGCACAATCTTGGCTGATGATGACGTTGGCAAACTTGGAAAAGCCGAAAATGAATTTAAAAGAAAAGAGAGAGATGAAACCAAAATAAGCGAGAAAAAATAAATCAGTCAACATACTGCAACTCTTGGGAACAAAAGTTAAACTTAAAAAATTGAAAATATCAAAGCTAAGGAAGACCAAGCCAGAGTCTCGCTAACAAAGATAACAATTAAGGAGAAAACTTCATGTAAGCTTGTAGACTGGCTTGGATCAAGCTAAAACACTTTATCAGAAACATTAGAGGCATGAAAAAAAACATGCCTGGGATGCACTAAACTGGCCAAAGCTCATGGCTCAAACAAGGACGTAAGAATCAGAAATTTGAAGGTAACCTAATCTGAACAACCAGTCACCCGAGAAGCCATGCATGCCCACGGCCATTACAATCAAAAAGGTGCATGAATGCGATTCATTTCGAGCAGATGGTGAAAAAATAACAAGGGCATACCAAAGGAAAAAGCATAGCCATAACTCCATAGCTTACAAGTCGAGAGAAAAAACATACTGCTAGCACGCAAGGACTTCCTGAAATTAATCAGCAGAAAAATGTTAATAGCCTAGATGATATGTAACATGAAAATTATTAACAAAGTATGCTTATATATTTCATGGTTATTTAGATTTTAAGTCCAATTAAGTAATACATGTCATTATATCATATGTCCATAAAATCAACTTAAATTAGGAATCAATACCAAATCCTGCAAAAAAGGCCCAGTTTGTTTCAAAGAACTCGAGCCGTCTGTCTAAGCTCAGTTCAGAAAGATTCCATTTATACCTAGGAACATAAAGCACCAAATGAATTAAAGACATATAGCAATAAATATCATACATAACTGTTTATGCTGAAGTCTATAACACAGGAAGCTGACAAAAGTAGGAAACATACTCAAAACAGTAATATGCATACATCCATGCATTGAGCAAACAACTAATTCCTGTGCCAATGTAGGGTATAAGCAGAGCTGCAACAACCTGAAATCTAAAAAAGAAAACACTTACAATGTAACTATAAAAAAACAAAACAAAACAAAAACAAAAAAGATTAGCTCGACATTGACCATGCAACATAAAACATTTTATCAATTATTTAAATCATCGATAATGCATGAACAAATTCAAACAAAAATGCACATTACTGCACCTCAATGAAAAAAAAGCTTAACAAAAGTAATGAATATAATTGTTCTCCAATTCCAAGCACAACCCTGTTGAATGAATGAGACAGATTTCTGAGTAAGGTAAGAAAATAATTCTAACTTAATTTTGTATATATTAATTTCAACTGAAGAAATTTCTTCCATCTTGGACTTTCAGTTTATAATATTAAACTGACCCCTCAAGCCCACTAGGTCTGCTTGAATACATGCCATTCTGATTGTCAGATGAAGATCTTTCTGCAGGAACTTTTGCCAGATGCAACCCTTTACTTTTGAGAACCTCAAAAGCATGCCTAGCAATGTTGTTATACCTGGATTGGGGGAAAAAACAGTATATAAAGTTGGGCAAAGAAAAAAATGGGTTTTATGGATTCAAAATGCTTTTATATCAAAGTAGACATCAAGCAGAACAAAGCAAATCTTTATGCTCATAAATTAAATCAAACATATTTTATGCCTTCATCATCAAATACGTATGTTACGAAGCTTAAGAAATGACTACGACTAACTAACAAAATATAACATACCAGTTTAAGGTGCAACAAAAACTAAATCCCTTATCATAATGAGTAACATTTACTTGAGGGAAAATTAAGCTATTATGGAACTAAAATCATGACTCTGAGAAAAAGTATAATTCTTCACCCGGCACCCATCCCAACGCAAGACCATTCTAGTAAAGAGGAGGCAACATTTCAGATGGTACTAATGCCAAGTCATCGGCCAAATTGTGATCTTATACATTGAAAACTTAAAACGATAAGTAGTTCAAGTAAATAATATTTTTTATCTTGTTCTCAAAGGAAAAATGGCACCGTTCGGATTAGTTCATCTCTGAAAATATAGACAAAATTGCAGCAACGAAAATGCTGGAGTTTTAACATTTTTCTAACTTTCAAGGGAGCACTTATATATGATATAGAAGAAAATCATTCTTGTATCAACTTTTTTGTACTCAAATGTGGTACACCAATCCAAAATAGTTGAGATAATGCTAATGATTATGATAATAATGAAATGAAGTACATTATGCACTAATTCATCATGGAAAATAAATATAATCTTACAAGAGAACAACGCATTTTAAGTCACATCGTTTCTGAGGCTTATCAGAAAGTAAAATGCATGGTGACAAAATAATCATGTTTGGATCTTCCCCGATGCAAGCAAAATAAACAAAGTAGTAAAATGCATGGTGACAAAATAATCATGTTTGGACCACGTTCCCCGATGCAAGCAAAATAAACAAAGCTTAAGATATTAATGGCTTACCTATAACAATAATCTCCATCTACAACAACTAGAACAATTGTAAAGCAATACAAATAATGTGCTTAATGCACATAAGTAGGATCAGGTTTAATAAGATCATGAAATTTGTACAGTGTAATCAGTCGTCAATGCATCATGTTGCTCTTGCAACATAACGTTCTATGATTATAATCAAAGAAAGTCCCTAATACTGACAATCCAACAGTCAATCTTTCATGGACAAGAAACATGTCCTTAATTTGTTATTAGAACCACATAGGAAGTATAGATGTTCTTTTACTTGTTTGATTGAACTGGATAAAAATCTTAATGCTAGGGATTTTGATTAAATTCCTTAATATGGAAATATTAGTAGAAATTTATAAAAAGATAGATATGGAAATATTAGTAGAAATTTATAAAAAGATAGAGATTAACCTCAACATGTCTTAGAGGAAAAGAACACCGATATCTAGTTAAGGACTAGTGGATATCTCTTATGGAAAACTTTTTTAAGTCGTTGATATATTTTATGGGAAAATTTTTTAAGTCAACACCATTCTGAAGTTGGCATAGCTACAAACTTTATAATGATGAAGCAATCCAGCAGCAGAAAGTAAATCAAATCTGACTATACCAGCATCAAGACAACCTACCACATGTTGCTCAGAATAATGCTGAATCCATATAGTGGATAGAACCAGAAAAGCTGAAAGGCAACAGAAACATTGGTTAATACAAACACAGTGGTGAATATCTGAGAATAAGAAAAAGCATAAATCAATCATGAATTACTTAGAGATGGAGAAACTAATTCAGAAACAAAATGCAAAAACAAATTATTGATGAGATGGATATATGTTGTTTCAAATGCAGGTAATATCCAAATGTTACTACCCTCCCTGCAAATACCACTTTCATCTCTCAAATATTTAAGCCTATAATTCGGACCCATATTGTTATTTTGAAAACCATTGAAAATTTCTTCACATTTTAATTATTGGCTGGTGTAAGTGAGGCGTAGAGAGACAGGAAGGGGGATGCAAATATTACGCTGCAGTTTGGGCTGACAGCTTTAGAACAATTTTTAAATAAATATTGCAGGTTTTAAAATGAATATAATATAATGCCAATAAAATATTTTATAAAGTCACATGTTATTCTACGCTAACATTTTCTCATAATAAAATTCCCACAAGATAGGATTGAAGCTCTTTAAATGAAAATCTATGAATAACCCATTTTTATGAGCTAGCGGAATATTTTGGAGATCATGTGTTTTTGTAAGGATCTTGAAGAAATAATTTATTGACTTTTAAAAAGCCTGTCAGATTTTTTATTGATTTTGAAAGGTCATAAAATATCTTTGGAATTTTGCTATAAATTAAACTGTCTCCAAATCTTCTCTTTTTTTATTGCTATAAAGTCTTAGAAGAAAGGTTTCACAATCACAAAAAAATAAAGAGAAATGGGGTGAAAAAGAGGGGTTTTTAAGGTGCTTAAAAAATGGATATCTTCCTCTAATTCAAGAAGTGTTGGTAATTTCACTACCATCAAAAAGTAAAAATTTTGGTCATGGAAAAGAGAAGCTCTCATTTGGTCTCCTACAACAAAAAGGGGCAGATAATAATAGTAGAAAAATCTTGTTTTCCACGCCTAACCCTCATGTTTGTAGCAAATGATTGCATTCTCTCATAATCACTAGCATAAACAAAATAGTGTCTTTATCATTAACACCAACTATGTATGTTCTCTCTTGTACATCTTTTGAAGCTTAACGGAGCAATTTGATCTTTATGTGTTAGAAGACAGTTGGATCTATCCAAACAACATGAAATTGTGTCGTGTGCTTATGATCTCTACTGCATTTGTTCTCTTTAATTTTTGCTTTAAGTTTTATTAATATCCAAAAAATATGGTCATTTTACAATAGTGAAACATGCCATTTATGCAAGTTCAAAGAATAGTTAGACCTTACTCAAGCCAACTAAACATCTAGTGCAAGTAGTCCTTTCTTTTTCCCCCAAAGAGGATTCAATGATTTCCATAACTAATATATTTGGTCTTATGCTAGTAGCAAGGTTAAGAATATAAATTCAGTGGGCAAAAAATTTGTTTACATCATTCTTGAAAATAAATGACATAAACAGTTGATAGCTAACTTTTAATAACACCAAATGTGATTAAAATTAATGATGATATTAATTTTCAAACAAGATGTGCTTTCTTGAGCATAATGGTCATTTTTAAATACAAAAAGTCATGCCAAAACAAGATGACCATTTATATCTCTTGGAAGAAAACATAATTTATACTGCTGCAAGTGGAGTGATTCATCTAATAACATAAGAACAAAGCTATTTGAAAAACACAGTACCATAGAAGAAGGCATTGATAGATTCCCTTTCTTTCTATCATGTTACAAGATTCATAAAATGATAATTAAGAAGTTTATTAGAAAAAGCATTTCAAGAAAGTGACCAAAAAAAGTGTCACTACCAACATTTTAATTTATAATACAGAAAGGAAAGACACATATTCACTTACATAGAATAACTCAACAAGCACATGACGTGTGAAGGAGTAGAGTGCCAAAGCCGTTCCACTCTGACATAAGTGCTCTGAACCAAACTGCCCGCATTCACTCGGCAAAATCCATAACAAAGTTGGTATGACCACGGAATTGAACATAAACAAACTGTAGAAAGTGAAACATAAAATATTGTAGAGCGACAAGAGTTTTTGAAATGCACAATTAAAACAGTAGCATTGCAGTGAAAAAACTCGTGCGGATTAGCTCTACGATAAAAAAAAGTCAAATAAATGGCTCCAATTAGTACTAAATGTTACAATCGACTGAAGCAAGATAAAGTAGTGCATAATGTTAGAACCCAAGATGGCCCGTGAACTCACACTACCTAGGCAAGTGTACTTTAAAAAGAGAGAGATAGAGAAAGAGAGAGAGATGCTATAACTTAAAAGGGTGCCTATTACGCTGTATAAGTAGTTATATTTATATTTCATATAAAAAAAGTACAATAGTCATGTAGCATTATCTATAACTTAACAGGGTACCTAGCCAGTGAACTTGTCTCCTAGATTGAAGTATGTAAGCTAGTTTGTGTCCAACTAATGAGCTCTTATTCATCATTAGGTTGACCAGTAGCTATTCATCACTTGAGTGGATGAAGTCATCTGTACGGCAGGTATGGAGGTTTTACTAAGTTGACTTGGTTAAATCATCATCTAGGAAGAATTGACTGTGAAATATGCTAATTCGAATTTGGTCTTCCATATATTTGGCATGAATAATATAATGAATTCTACCATAAGGTTATTTGGCTATAAATATTTAGTTCTCAAATTCTCTGATACATTAATGATTTAGTGTGAAAAGAATAAAAGACTTAAATGTACTAAATGATTACGCAATGAGCCTTTAAATGTACAATTTTTTATTGATGCAAAGTTATTTTATCCACATAAGCCTTGATTCAGACATTTGTTCTTGCTTCCTCCTACTCAACTTTCTTACGACCTCTTCCTTAGAAGTATGCAGAAGTTCCCAAGAATATGATAAACATTCCAAAGGAGGATACTATTGCTAATTTGTTTGGCAAGCATAAGAGAGAGGATAGTTCTTCTGAAAAGAAAAGGTAAAGAACAAAATAGGAATAAGAGCTGAAGGGTGAAGCTCATGATTTCGCAACTTCTTTAGCGCTCCCTATAACCATTTTACTCCCTCAAATTGATTTTCAATAAATATAAAGGGTTGAGCGCTATTTATCTTCAAACAAAAGTTTACTCTAAGAAAGTAAAAAAATCTTAATATATATATAGATATATATATATATAT